GTTGATCTAAAGTAAAAAAAAAAAAAGAAAACCTTTTCAAATTAGTAAGAAAAAGATGAACCACCAATAGAAAAATGCATAGGGCAGCAGTTCCCCAGTGTCTTGCAAGAGGCCTGAGGTTAGTCTGAGTGCTACTGAGATGGTATTTACCTTGTTTGCTCTGCTGACATTTGCACTGATGGTGCAAAAGCCATGGTGGCTATTAGTAGACCTCAAGGCAAAGACTTCAAGTTACACTATGTTCTTCACTCCCACATGCAAGCAGGGGGAAAAGCAACATTCACTTAAGAAAGTCCTTGATAGGCCAGGCACAGGGGCTCATTCCTGTAATCCCTGCATTTTAGGAGGCGGAGGCTGGTGGATCACTTGAGGTCAGCAGTTCAAGACCACCCTGGCCAACATGGCAAAAACCCATGTCTACTAAAAATACAAAAATTAGGCCAAACTCAGTGACTTACACCTGTAATCCCAGTGCTTTGGGAGGCTGAGGTGGGTGGATCACTTGATGTCAGTTTGAGACCTGCTGAGAAATGCTGAGTATATGATAGAATCTATTGTTTGCTATGAATAATGATGGCAAGGAAAACCTAGCCGGTCTCCTGCAAGTAGGAAACTACTTGGGCCATTCTAAAGTGGCAGGACAATATATAAATATCATATACCGGTTAAAACAATTCTTTAAGCTCAGAACATCTGACCCTGCCCTCATGGCTCCCTAGTGGAGAATACTTTTGTCTGTGATCAGTGGTAAGCGGGCACCAGCTGCCTACTTGGTATATTTCTGTGTTATGAGAAAATACCAAACAGCTGTTTGTTAATAATCGTCACCTGTTCAGAGAATAAATACGTGGGTCAGAGTCTGCTCGAGGCCCTCAGACCAGAATGCTGTCAGTGCTTGAGGCTCTCAGCTTGGAAGGCTGTTAGTGCCCCCCTCAGATAGACCCACTTTGCTGTTCTATTTGGGTGTTTGCTTCTGAATGCCTTCAGCACCGCCTGGGCGGGGGTCTCTGCGGCAGAGCTGGTCTCAGTAGAGACCAGTCTGGCCAACATGGTGAAACCCTGTCTTTGATAAAAATACAAAAATTAGCCGGGCATGGTGGCAGGTGCCTGTAATCTCAGATACTTGGGAGGCTGAGGAAAGAAAATTGCTTGAACCCAGGAGGCAGAGGTTGCAGTGAGCCAAGATCCCATAATTTCACTCTAGCCTGGCTGACAGGGCAAGATTCTGTCTAAAAAAAAAAAAAAAAGCCAGGCATGGTGGTGGGTGCCTGTAGTCCCAGCTACTTGAGGCTGAGGCAAGAGAATCGCTTGAACCTGGGAGGTAGAGGTTGCAGCAAGCCAAGATTTCGCCATTGCACTCCAGCTTGGGTGACAAGAGCAAAACAAAAAAAAAAAGAGGCCGGGCGCGGTGGCTTAAGCCTGTAATCCCAGCACTGTGGGAGGCCGAGGCGGGTGGATCACGAGGTCAAGAGATCGAGACCATGCTGGTCAACATGGTGAAACCCCGTCTCTACTAAAAATACAAAAAATTAGCTGGGCATGGTCGCGTGTGCCTGTAATCCCAGCGACTCAGGAGGCTGGGGAAGGAGAATTGTCTGAACCCAGGAGGCGGAGGTTGCGGTGAGCCGAGATCGCGCCATTGCACTCCAGCCTGGGTAACAAGAGCGAAACTCCGTCCCCCAAAAAAAAAAAAAAAAAAAATCCTTGATGAAGCCACATAGAATTGTTCATTTTATCAATTCTTAGCCCTTGAGTCCACATCTTTTTAGTATTTCGTTGAAATGGGAAAGAGGAAATACACAGGACCTCTGGGCATGCAATTGTCTCTAGAAAAATGATATGTGCGACTATTTGAATTGTGCTATGAACTAGCTACTTTTTTTGTGGAACAACACTGTTTTTGATAGAACCACTGACAAGCTGTGGTTATTCATATGTGGGTATTTGGCAGCCATTTTCTCAAAAATGAGAAAAGTGAGGGCCAGGTGCAGTGGCTCATGACTGTAATCTCAACACTTTGAGAGGCTGAGGTGAGTGGATCACTTGAGGCCAGGAGTTTGGCCAAAATGTTGAAACCTCATCTCTACTAAAATTTAAAAAATTATGCAGGTGTGGTGGCATGTGCTTATAATTTTAGCTCCACAGGAGGCCAAGGCACAAGAATCACTTAAACCCAGGAGGTGGAGGTTGCAGTGAGCTGAGATCACACCACTGCACTCCAGCCTGGGTGATGGAGTGAAACCCTGTCTCAAAAAAAAAAGAAAAATGAGAAGTGAGTCTGTCACTTGAAGGAAAACAATTGATAGTATTTGTTGCCAAGGATAAAATTCTAACTTTCAGCTGGGAGCAGTGGCTTGCAGCTGTAATCCAAGTACTTTGGGAGGCTGAGGTGGATGGATCACCTGAGGTCAAGAGTTCAAGACCAGCCTGACCAATATGGTGAAACCCCATCTCTACTAAAAATACAAAAATTAGTCGGGTGTGGTGGTGTACACCTGTAGTCCCAGCTACTCGAGAGGCTGGGACTTGAACCCAGGAAGCATAGGTTGCAGTGAGCCAAGATGGCGCCACCATACTCCAACCTGGGCAACAGAGCAAGACTTCCTCTCCAAAAAAAAAAAAAAAAAAATTCTAACTTTCAAGCAAAAATTAAAATTTTGAGGCTGCGCACAGTGGCTCACACCTTAATCCGAACACTTTGGGAGACAGAGGTGGGTGGATCACCTGAGGTAAGGAGTTTAAGACCAGCCTGGCCAACATGGCGAAACCCCGTCTCTACTAAAAACACAACAAATTAGCCAGGCATGGTAGTGGGCACCTATAATCCCCGCTATTCAGGAGGCTGAGGCAGGAGAATTGCTTGAATCCAGGAGGCAGAGGTTGCAGTGAGCAGAAATCACACCATTGCACTCCAGGCTGGGCGACAGAATGAGACTGTCTTAAAAAGAAAAAACAACTTTTTGAAAATTTGCATTTGACACCATTCATTTTACAACTTCCCAATACTTCAAGACTTTTCCAGTGAGGTTGGTGGCAATGAGAATGAATGTTATATTTTTATATAATAAAATATGTCAACATTCATAAGATGTGCATTGCTCAATTAACCAATATTTTCCAAAAAATAAATCCATGGTGTTATGAAACCACACGTGGGTACAAGATCCTTCCAAAGTGCCAAAAGACCAATGTATTATTATTGTTACTATTATTTTGAGACAGGGTCTCTCTTTGTTGGCTCATTGCAGCCTTGAATTCTTGGACTTAAGGGATCCTCCCACCTCAGTCTCCTGAGTAGCTGGGACTACAGGCATGCACCCGTGCACCTAGCTAATTTTTAAATTTTTTGTAGAGATAGGTTTTTGCCATGTTGTCCAGGCTGGTCTTGAACTTCTGGATTCAAGCAATCCACCCTCCTCAGCCTCCCAAAGTACTGGGATTACAGGCATGAGTCACCTAGCCCTGCTGACCAATGGATTTTAACGTAATCGAATGCAAAAATTGTACTGATGCTATTTCAGATTCCACACTGCAACTAACCTTTAAGAACTACCACTTGGGGCCAGGGGTGGTGGCTCACGCCTGTAATCCTAATACTTTGGGAGGCTGAGGCAGGCAGATCGCCAGGTCAGGAGATCAAGATCATCCTGGCCAACATGGTGAAACCCCATCTCTGCTAAAAATACAAAAATTGGCTGGGCGTGGTGGCACATGCCTGTAATCCCAGCTATTTAGGAGGCTGAGGCAGGAGAATTGCTTCAACCAGGGAGTCAGAGGTTGCAGTGAGCTGAGATCACGCCACTGAACTCCAGCCTGGGAGACAGAGCGAGACTCTGTTTCCAAAAAAAAAAAAAAAAACCACTTGGCCAGGCGCGGTGGCTCACATCCCAGCACTTTGGGAGGCCGAGGAGGGCGGATCACGAGGGCAGGAGTTCGAGGAAAAAAACCCGTCTCAAAAAAAAAAAAAAGGCAATCAGAAAACCCCCCCATCACTTGAGTTTTGATGTAGTATCAAAGAAGCATAGCCACAATTATCTGAAAAGGCTATTAAAATATTTCTTCCTTTTCTAAGTATTTACCTGTGGGGGCAGACTTGGCCTCCCGAAGGCAAGCAAACTTAAATCTGCACTCGAGACCAGCTACAGTACATACTTGGTTGGGGGGCAGGGTCGAGGGAGCGCGTGCAGCGCAGCTGGCACTCGGATGAGAGCAGGCGGAGGGTGCGGAGGCCCCAGAGTACCTCCACCTGGATCCTGGAGCCCTCGGGCGGGGGCACCTCCAGTGGCTGTTTTGGGGGGGGCGGGCACGGAGCAGCGCTTGGGGGGCCAAGGGGCTGGCAGAGGGGAGGTGACACCGCGGGGCTGGGAGAGCCGTGGTGAGCCCAGGGTGCCGTGCTGGGGCAGCTCTGGCAGCTGCATCAAGTGTCCCAATAAAGCAGCGCCCCGAAGCTCTCTGTTCGCGGAGCCAGCCCGGTCCCACAGCACTGGGTGGTTGGAGGATGAGCGTCCCCGGAGCACCATGGGCCGGGTGAAGGTGGATGGGGCGCAAAGGGCGGGGCCTGTAGGCAGGGGCGGGGCCTGTAGGCCAAGGCTGGACCAATAACGAGAGAGAAATGATGAGTAGGCGCTGAACTAATGAGCGAGGGCGGGACTAATGGGCGAGGGCTGCACCAATGGCGCGGATGCACACCTCAACACAAGGCAGCGGCTTCCATGAGCCTAAAGACCTTCCCTCCGCACGCTCAGTATCCCGACGGGGGCGAACAAAACCTTTAAACAAATGCTCCAGTTTCCCCGTAGGGAGCCGGAGTCAAATCCATGAGGAAGACCGGGGTCGCACTGAAGCCCACCCCACTGGTGCTGGCAGAACCTCGACCAGAGCCAACCCAGGCCGCAGATCCTCCGAGACTCCGTCCCCGGATGGCGACACCCAATCCGTGGTGTTCCCGCCCACTTATGGAAGCCTGGCCCCGCCTCCGCCCTCCGATTGGGCAAACGCCCTGCTCTACGCCGCGGGGGCAAAACCCGGAGGAGCTGCCCCAGCCAGAAGAGCGGCCCCCGCAGCCTTGCTGCGCATGCTCACGCCGTGACCCCGGCCTGAGGTGACGGCGCGAGCTGAGGCGGGGGCCCTCGGCACAGAGGCTGAGGGACCCGTCTTGGCGCTGTCGCTGGAGAGGGAGGGCCGGCTGCCGTCGGTGAGGACGGGCCCCAGCGGGCGGGGAGGGTCCCACGTCCCCGGCGTGGACACGTTCCTGGCCCGGCTCTCCCGGGGGTCCCGAGGGCTGCGGGTGCTGAAGAGGGGTCCGCGTCCTGGCGCTCAGGCCGCCTCTTGTGGTGTCTGCCGCGATTTCCTCCCTGATCCTCGCCCCTCCCTGCTTCCCCTGGCCAAAGCCCCAACACCACCCCACCAAGGAGCCCGGCACTCGCCCGCCGGCCCTTGGCGGCGTCCGCCCCACCCAGTGCTGCCTTCCCGATGCCCCTTACCCCCCCACCCCGGCCCTGTCCCACGGGTGCAGCTCGGGGGGCGCCCTGCAGGGACGGCAGCGAGTTGGAGCTGTGAGATATTGGGGCGAGGGAGACACTCGGAGCCTCAGGTTGTGGGAGTATTCATGGGAGAGGAGAGAGCGAGGGAGCTGGAGCCATTTGGGTGCAGCACAGGCCGCGTTTGATGGCAATTGCATTGGGTAAGGGAGGAGTAAAAGATTCTGAGCCTTGGTGATGAGGGGAAGGAGCTGCCATGACTGCAGCTCCCATTGTGGGGAAGCTGAGCGTTTCACACCGTAGTGTAGCAGTTCATGGCCTTCTTGGGGCAGGGGTCACTGCCGGTTTTTTAAATCTACCTGTAAGGATGTGTACTGCACACTAAAGTGTCCCCTCATCCTGTCGGGGGGTCAATGGCAGCCCCCCCATGGACTGCGTGGAACAGTGATTATTGGGGAGCAGCTGTCCATATGGCCTGGGAACTTTGGCAGTGACTTCACCCTTTTCTATCAGCTATTAACAACACCTGCTAAATTCACCGCTATTTCCATTACGCAGATGAAACCTAATGGGGAAGGCAAGGGAATTGTCCTCGTGGATAAGGACGCCAGTGCTGGTGGACACTGATGATGCTTCCCTCCCATGCATATGAAGATGATTCTGTGGGTCCACCGTGAGGCACCAGGCAGGGTTCCTGGCTTTCAGAACCGCATCACTAGGTTTTTGTACTAGTTTCCTGTCGCTGTCATAACAAATATGGTGGCTTAAAACGACACAAATTTATCTTCCAGATTTAGAAATCAGAAGTCTGACATGGGTCTCACTGAGTTAAAATCAAAGTGTGGTCAGAGTTGCATTCCTTGCTCAGGGTTCTGGGAGAGAATTAATTTACTTGCCTTTCCCAGCTTCTAGAGGCCACGTGCATTCTTTGGCCTGTGACCCCTTCCTCCATCTGAAAAGCCCGCAGCATCTTAACTCTTGGACCTGCCTCCATTCTTACATCTCTCCCTCACTCGTATGTGTTCCCTCTTCATTTTTAAAAGTGATCTTAAAAATATAATCACTTTTAAGGACCCCAGTGATTACATTGGACCCACCAGGATAATCTGGTGAACAACTTTAATTCTTCTGCAACCTTAGTTCCCCTTTACCGAATAAGTTAACATACTCACAGGTTCCAGGGATCAGGACCTGGACATCTTTGGGAGGCTGTTAGCCTGCTTCCCACAGACCTGCTGGTACGGGAGACTCCCGCCAGTTCCTGACATGCGTGATCGTTGGTCTTGGGTTTACGCTGAGCCATATTTATGCTGCTGGGTCTCCTTTGCTACCAACATCATGACAGCTGGTTAGGATGAATGTTGACTGGGGACCCAAAGTAATATCCAGTCACCAGCCAGGTGCGGTGGCTCATGCCTGTAATCGCGGCACCTTGGGAGGCCGAGGCAGGCAGATCACCTGAGCTCAGGGTTTCGAGACTAGCCTGGCCAACATGGTGAAACCCCATCTCTACTAAAAATACAAAAATTAGCCAGGCATGCTGGCCAGCGCCTGTAGTCTAGGCTACTTGGGGGATCTGAGGCAGGAAGATCTCTTGAACTCAGGAGGTTGAGGCTGCAGTGAGTCGAGATCATGCACTCCGGCCTGGGTGACAAAGTGAGACCATGTTTCAAAAAAAAAATTTTTTTTTTTTAAATTAAAAAAATATATCCAACCACCAGATTACAGAGTTGGTGGAGCATATAATATGAGTATAGTAAGGTAACTGTTAAGACTTTTAATCTTTTACATTCATTTCTACTTCATTTTTTATTTTTTGAGATGGAGTCTGGCTCTGTTGCCCAGACTGCAGTGCAGTGGTATAATCTCTGCTCACTGCAACTTCCATCTCCTGGGTTCAAGCAGTTCTCCTAACTCAGCCTCTCGAGTAGCCAGGACTACAGGCCCACGCCACTACACTGGCTAATTTTTGTATTTTTAGTAGAGATGAGGTTTTACCATATTGGCCAGGCTGGTCTGGAACTCCTGACCTCAGGCGATCTGTCTGCCTCAACCTCCCAAAGTGCTGGGATTACAGGCTTGTGCCACTTTGTGCCCAGCCTCTACTTCACTTTTTAAAAGTCGGTTTATCCAGTGAACATTGATTGAGTGGAAGAATAACTGCCTCTAGGCTGGGTGAGGTGGCTCATGCCTGTAATCCCAGCACTTTGGGAGGCTGAGGTGGGTGTATCATCTGAGGTCAGGAGTTTGAGACCCACCTCACCAACATGGAGAAACCCTGTCTGTACAAAAAATCCAAAATTAGCCAGGTGTGGTGGTACATGCCTGTAACCCCAGCTACTTGGGAGGCTGAGGCAAGAGAATCACTTGAACTCAGGAGGTGGAGGTTGCGGTGAGCCGAGATCACACCATTGCACTGTAGACTGGGCAATAAGTGGGAAACTCTGTCTCAAAAACAACAACAAAAGCCTCTAAAACCTTTACTCTTGGAACGTAAATTGCTAAAAGTTTAGGGAAGAATCCAGAAGAGAGACTGATCCAGCCTGGAACTACCTAAGACACGTCCATCCCTGTTCCTGGAGTGGCTGATGAAGAATTCACTCTGTAAACTAGAAATCACAGACTCCCTGGATAGAGCATATAGCATCCATCAGTGTTCCCAGAGCATCAGAATCAATTGGGGCTACTGGTTAGAAGTGTAGACTCTTGGGTCTCTCTCTAGATCCTCTGAGTCAGAAGTCTGGGGTGGAATGGCCCAGGACCGTGCATTTTTAAAAGAACTCCAGGTGATTCTTAGGGATAGTGAAGTTGGAGAACCACTGTTCATAGACTCAGTTTACCTTTTTCTGCATATTTGACAACTTTATTGAGATAATTCACATACCATGCAATTTATCCATTTAAGGTCTACAATTCATTGGATTTAGAGTGACCATAAAGTTGTGCAATCCTCACAAAAAATCATTTTAGAACATTTTCATCACCCCAGAAAGCTCATAGCCACTAGCAGTCACTCCTCGTTCTCCCCTTCCCCACACCAACTCAGAGACAACCACAATTCTACGTTCTGTCTCCATAGATTTTCCTACTCTGTAGATTCTATAGACTAAGTAATTTCATGTAAATGGAATCATATAATACTTGGTCTTTTGGGTCTGGTGTCTTTTTTTTTTTATTTTTTTTTTTTGAGACGGAGTTTCGCTCTTGTTACCCAGGCTGGAGTGCAATGGCGCGATCTCGGCTCACCGCAACCTCCGCCTCCTGGGTTCAGGCAATTCTCCTCCCCCAGCCTCCTGAGTAGCTGGGATTACAGGCACGTGCCACCATGCCCAGCTAATTTTTTGTATTTTTTGTAGAGACGGGGTTTTACCATGTTGACCAGGATGGTCTCGATCTCTTGACCTCGTGATCCACCCGCCTCGGCCTCCCAAAGTGCTGGGATTACAGGCTTGAGCCACCGCGCCCGGCCAAGGGTCTAGTGTCTTAACAGTATTATTTTGTCGAGGTTCATTCATGTTGTAGCATGTTTTCTTTTTACTGCTAAATAATCCATTTTATACATGCACGACATTGTATTTATCCCTTCATCCATTGATGGACATTTTGGCTGTTTCCACTTTTGGCTTTCATTAATGATGCAGCTATGAACATTCATGTACATTTTTGTGTGGATATGGTAGTTTTCATTTTCTGTGGGTATATACCTAGTAGTAGAATTGCTGGATCATAGGGTAACTCTGCATTTAACCTTTTGAGAACTGCCAGGCTGGTTTCCAAAAATGGCTGTAGCATTTTACATTCCCCTCAGCAGTGTATGAGGTTTCCAGTTTCTCCTCATCCTTACCAACACTTGCTGTTGTCTGTTTTTTTGTTTATCATGTCCATCCTAGTAGTGTGAAGTGGTATCTCATTGTGGTTTTGATTTGCATTTCCCTGATGACTAATGTTGTTCAGCATCTTCTCATGTATTAGTCTTTTGTTTATATTCTTTAGAGAAAGGCCTCTTTGGAGCCTTTGCCCATTTTTATTATTATTATTATTATTATTATTTTTGAGATGGAGTTTCACTTTGTTGCCCAAGCTACAGTGCAGTGCAGTGCAGTGTAGTACAGTGGCACGATCTTGGCTCATTGAAACCTCTGCCTCCTGGGTTCAAGTGATTCTCATGCCTCAGCTTCCCTAGTAGCTGGGATTACAGGTATGTGCCACCATGCCCAGCTAATTTTTGTATTTTTAGTAGAGACAGGGTTTTACCATGTTGGCCAGGCTGATCTCAAACTCCTGACCTCAGGTGATCCTCCCTCCTCAGCCCCACTAAGTGCTGGAATTACAGGCAAGAGCCCCACGCCCTGCTTCTTTATTTTTTTTTTTCTTTTGAGATGGAGTTTCGCTCTTGTTGCCCAGAATGGAGTGCAATGGCACGATCTTGGCTAACTTGCAACCTCTGCCTCCCAGGTTCAAGTGATTCTCCTGCCTCAGTCTCTCAAGTAGCTGGGATTACAGGCATGTGCCACCATGCCCACCCTAATTTTGTATTATTAGTAGAGACCGGGTTTCTCCGTGTTGGTCATGCTGGTCTCGAACTCTCAACCTCAGGTGATACGCCCACCTCAGCCTTTCAAAGTGCTGGGATTACAGGCTTGAGCCACCACGTCCAGCCCAGGGAGTTTCACTCTTCTTGCCCAGGCTGGAGTGCAATGGCACAATCTTAGCT